AAAAAAACAGAAGGACCATGACCATTAACAAAGATGACATAACAGATGATCCTCCCATAGAAGCAACAAAACTTGACTTGGAAGTAAAATTTCCGAATTGCCATTTCATCTAGGGTTCCCTCCATCAATATTCTAATRTAGATTTCTTTTTAATCCAAGCATTAATGTTTTACCCGTTGTTTTTATCCCGCCAGGGATACCCAAGGATAGTCTCAAGCCACAATCTAGAAGTGTTGCACCAATCATGCAGTTTCTCTGCATTCAATAGCACTGCCTTTACTCAAATGTCTCTCATGAGAAAGAGGGAAAAAAATATATATATATGTATACACAGTTCTGAAGTGCATATAAATCACACAGGAGTCATTTATTTTACATAGTGAATCTAGGATATGACTTTAAATGAACAATACAGTGTATGCTACATGTGAGCTTGGGATGTTTCATCTACCATGCCAGGAACACACATGAACATATTTTGTGCTACCTAACACTAAAGGCCAGGGGTCAGAGATAAACCACCCTGCATTTGCTAGACAATGGTAAAATTCTTGCAGACTACTAAAGAAGCATAGCTGAGCTGCAGGAGTTCATATTCTAATGTATTTTGCAGCATCTTCCTCAGGACCCAAGCTGTATTATCTGTAAGAACAATTAAACTCAAGTAAGCCTTTAATTAAATGGACTCTATGAAGTTATGAAGTACACTATGAAGTACACAGAAGTTATGAGGAACTCTTTTCCTCCTTCCCTTTACCCTGCTATTCATTCTACTCCGAGTGACTGCAGGCTACAAAATAAAGCTTTATATGTTATGAAGGTTCACTGACTCCAGCAATGGGCAAGGAATCAGGCCAGCAGGAGTATACCTAAAATGCAGACTTTCTGACAGAAGTTTCTGAAGTTTCAAAACAGGCAATACCTCTGCAGAACTCTACACACACTATTGGGGTCAACTGCTATCTTTCTACTACATTTACAACCTATAAACATGCTCCAAAGATCATATCACCCCAAAGATCARCATTAGAGTATCTGCATGTCACGTTTACTGCTTTGCTTTGAAAAGAATAGACTAAGCTAAAAAGTCACTTTTAGAAAAATTAGCGGGTTTGAAATATTGCCTTCAAAGGTAGTACTTCAGTATCCTAAATGTTAATTTTAATTTCCTAATAAATCAGTAATTAGGACTTCCCAGCCAGTAGGCACTAATATTCATATCCCTACATGATCAATTTGTTTCTCTATAAAGCCAGAAAGGCAATAAAAAGCTAATAAATGATTTGTAAATGTTTTAATAAGTGACTGGTTCAATGTCAGCTTTTAGGAAGCTAACAGGTTCTACAGGCTGCCAATATCTGCACTGTTGCTCATACAGTCTATAAGAGTAAATACTACTCACTCAAGAAACTTGACTGGAAATGTATTTGCATCTGCAATGAAATTTAGTATTTTTAACTCTAAAGAAAAATGGATAAAGCTTCACAACTTCTTCCACTTAGAATCCGCTTTTTGTGAGGATGCTGAATATGGCAATTATTCTCTTTACATTTCTGAATGCAGCTTGCAGAGTGTAAGTTTAAGTAATTTGAATACTTATGCTACTCAAGACTTTCTTCAGTAACAGAGACCAAAAAAAAAGAGAGAAAACCAGAGTCACAGCAATGTTATTCTACTGCTGCCTTGATAAGCCTCAACAGCTGCACAGACAAATAGTAGAGAGCTATTTGTAGGGGAGAAAGACCCCCAAAATGGAAACTACGGAAGGCGCAGAATGCCAGAAATCTCTTCCCATCCACACAAGTGAGTAGATTGGAGGGGGAGGGGAAAAAAAAAAACTTTAGTTATAAAAGTTGAAGGTCTATTGGAAGCAGAAGGAAATTTTAATTTACTCTTCCAAAAAATAGAAATGAAAAAAAAAATGCTGAAAGACAACCAGTTTTCAGGCATCTGTTACCCTTCATCTGATATGCAAGAAACCACATCTCTGCAGACAAAAACCCGGGTCTCTGCAACATGCCAAACTATGAAACCTAAATATCTTCCCGACACACGCTACACCAAGCCTTCTCTAGGACAACCCCAACCTTATTTTCCACAGGGCTTTCTAAGTAACTAATTATATATAGGCTGATAAGGGAGATTGCAGGGAGTGAACAAAACAGCTATCAGAGCAATGCAATTTCAGTCTAACAAAAGCATTCTTTACAACCGTAACTAAACAAGTAATTAAAATACTAAGGTTAGAGAATGTGATTTATAACAGTATTGCAAAATAAAATAAATTCAGAATCAATTTAGGTAGAAGCATATATTGCATCATATACTTTGATGTATCAGACATACTCCCTAACAGCCATCCCTTCCTTCAGCTTAAAAAAATTCCCAAACTGTTCTCATATAAGATAAGTTTATTTACATGTTGTAGCAGACCATCAAAACTTTTCTTTTAAATCTACCTAAATAAAATCAGAGATTATCAACTATCTTCACAAAACACAGCACTTCAAGTTTTTCCAAAGCTGCTATATTAATTTGATAAGCAGCAGAAAATAGGAAATGGCCTTATATACAACACATTTCACACCTCAAAACATTAGTAAGTAACCAAATACCATTCAGTAGAATTTTAAAAAGTTCAGTCAAAGCAGTGCATTTCATTTTAATTGCAATTTAAACGTAGTTATTTGAAACATTTTCCAGATCAGAATTTGTCCCCAAAGAATGTCTATCAAATGAAATACTACAAGCTCAGTCACCTTCGTCAACACCAAACCATGATATTTAAACTGACTTTTCTGCTAAAAAAAAAAATGCTCCAGTTAAATTATGCACCTATGTAAAGTCTTAACGTTTCACTCACACAGTGACTTTTCAGTCACTCCAATATTGCAAATTTGAATCCAAGAGCAGCTGAGCTTTCTTTTTACTTTCAAGCTTATTACTCTGAAGCTCAACACAAACATCACACTGTCAGCATCCAAACTTGCAAGGATTAAGTGACTTGAAATTGAAGGCTGCAAGGGTATCCTAACAGAAACATTTTCTTCTTTGCATGAATTTATAGTCCAGTCACCTTGATAGTACTTTTCCAATACATTTCTTTTATAATTTTGTAATATGTTAGCAATTACCTGCTGTTTTGTATAGCTTTTATATAACTTTGCATAATCTTCAATAAATTCACAGCAATCAAAAGTTAGCTTCCAATACTACAAGCAATGTAAAAGCAGAGTAGAAACAATACCTGCTACAATGAGGTTAGAGTTGATGCAGAGACTGGGAGTAAGAGACAAAAAAAAACAAGCAAGCAAAAAAAAAAAAAACCACACATGCCAAATGAATGTGCTGAGTGGAAAGGAACATTGTGTTTTGGTGAAGACAGGCTTTTTCCATATAAATGAAAAAATAAATGAAAGGATGTCCAAAAGGGAGAAGGACGTGGCTGAGGTTAGAGGGGATAGCTGGGCTGCGAAATGGAGATGAAGAGGCAGAGGAAGTTCGCCGACACACACAGTCACTAGCRCAAGACAGGTCAGTCAGAAGCAAAAAATTCTCTGCTTGTCCAGAAACCTTATTTGACCACTCCTCTTGGCAGTAATTTTAGTTTGCATGCTTGAAGATTAAAGATGTATTGCAAATAGTTGAACTCTTAAACAAAAGTGAAAAACTGAGAAGAGAATCGGAGTTACAAGTATAGCCATAATTTGCTAACTTACGCCTCCACCAGTTTTTAATAACCATGCAGTTTTCCAGGTAACCTTGCAACCTTCTTTCTACTAAATCTTAATGCATTCTGAGCCACAGCAGATGTTACTGATGAAAAAAGGCACATCTGCTTGCTTTTCAGAAATATTCAGACTATTCTAATGAGCAGTTTAAATCCTAAAACAAGTTTTTTTAAAAAAAAGCAAACGCATGCCATTTCTCCTAAGACAGTAATTTTCCAAGATATCCAGCAATATTAGTTCCAATCAAAACTGTTTATTTAAAAAAAACACCCTTTTCCTCTTTATTATGATGTGAAGGCTATATCTAACTATCTATGAAATGATTTTTCCTGCACTACTTTAATAATACTATGGAGGAACAATAAAACCAACAATCTTTTCATATAAACCCATTCTAAACCACCCAATTAGTTGCATGGTTACTGAAGTCACACCAAAAGCAAGAGATAAGCAGAATGAAAGAAGTATGAGAAGACAAAAGTTCAAAGGTGCTTGACACGAGGCAAAGACATTTCTTATACAGACCTGGCACTACAACTTGTCAGTGAATGAAATGACAAGGGCACTGCAAGAAAAAACACCACAGGGTTGATGCTAAATACACACTTAACATGAATGGTAACTGAACAATAAAAAGCCATATAATCTCCACACATCTCAGAAACTAAATATGAAAGCCAGAGATGCCAAGATAAGACTCCAAGCTACTTAAATCATTCCCTGAGGCTCGGTCAACTCAACAGTTTACTGCAAGATGACATATACCACAACACTGCGTGAATAATATTAGCGGTCCAATAAGAATGATGAAGACTTMGACTTAGTTTCACACATTGGAAAAGTCTTAACTTTAGAAACAGATCAGTGATGGGGGGAGAGAAATATCCACACAAAAAGGAAGGAAACAGAGCAGTTGATAATAATTACTAAAGACTATAATCTAGAGCTTTCAGAACTTTAGCAGAGTTCAAGTTTATCAGAATAGTCAGCAGAGTTACTACTCTAGCATAGAGCCATAAGCTGCTTTCTTTATTTCCTCAGGTGCATTCAAACATTAAAAGTGAAAAGACTTGAAGTCTCAATACATAAATTGTGAYACTATTTATCCTAGCTGTCGCAAACCAGACTACTGATGCTTCAAAGCAGGCTAATACCAATACTAACATGCATACTTCACAGTACCTAAGTATTTCAAGACTAGGCTGAGCAGAAAATTACTTCTTTTTTTTTTTTTTTTTTTAAATACACCTGTATGTATTTAAGGCAACTTTTAATTTCAAGTTAAAGGAAAAAAGCAACAGGAGACATCTCATCAACCAATTCCTCACCATAGCTAGTTGTACTTGCTCTTCTATAGCAGTAGTGATAGAGCACACTTCAGCAAAGTGCTGATTACATTGTATGCTAATGATGATATTGTTCCTAAATAACATGTCTGGAGCATAAGGGCAAGAAAAGCACTCAGAAATAGACATCAGTAAACGGCGTACAACAAAGTATTTTACAGTGAGCTGTGGTTGATTTGGCTAACAAAATAAGAAGTTTCTATTCACAGTCAGCTTCTATAATAAACAAACGARAAGAGATTCCTTCAGTTTAATATCCTATGTTCATATTTCCTTGCCAAAAAGRCTTCATTACGTCCTCCAAAACAAGGAACACTTACAAGAATAATTAAGGCTTGTTCTATATCTTTAATAATGTGCTATGCAATAGACAGAAATTTATTCTTATTATTTGGATAGAGAAAAATCAATGTACACTCGGCAATGATCAGAACATTATTAGGACTCTAAAATATTCCAGATACTATTCTTACATCTAAAGAGTACTGCATCATAAAGGAAAGGCACTTTCCAAGTCCTACCTTCATTCTAGAGAAGGTAGACTCTAAAGAAGGTAGATGGTTAGGTTCTATAATGGGGAAAAATAAACTTTCTGTTGTATCAATTTGCACAAAAGACTCTTTTCACTGCAAGTTTTAATCGGTAAATTGGTGGGGCCTGGGGAGAGAAGTCTTTAATTTTCAGATCATTCTCATGAGCAGCTGAGTTACTACTGAAACCCACAGAGGAAAATACTTTTCTTGGACAGAAGTTTAAGAGGTGCTAGTTACCATAACTTACATATGACTAATGGAATTCACATAAAAAAAAATGAAATAAATTTCACAAACACAACATAAAGAGGAAGATTATGGAATTTAATGGAACTGAGAATTTTAAATAGTATCTTTGGTGGATGATTTATGTTTTTTAATTAAAAAATTAACTTTTCTAACATCTAGGTGAAGTATTTTAACTAACATCTAGGTAAAATATTTTAATAAAGTGTTACATTTAAACTCACCTGGTTCATTTTGAATTCCTGTTGTGTTCTGAAAAGATACACACAACAAAGAAACTCCTTTGATTACATGAGCCCTAAAAAGAAAAACAGACAATTGAAACATGTACCTACCTAAAAATTTATAGTGAATTGAAAGTACACATACAGACCTGTAGAGCTTTTCTTAAAAGGATTTTTCACAAAAGCAGCATATTGCTTTATTCAAAATCTGCTTCAAGTTACAGATTTGTCATTATAGCTCAAATATATTTGAAAAATCTAGAGAGGGATAGTTATTCATTTTTTTGCCACAATTTTAAACAAAGATGCAACAGAAATGTACTCAAATGGGATTGTTTCGTTTGTTTTGAAAACAAGTTCAGTTGTTTGGCATTGAATAATTGCATAAAACTTTAATACTCAAACTACTTTAGCTTTCAATATCAAAACAGTATGAAAGACTATAATTGCACTTTTGAATTTATGGAATTATGAATTTGTGTGTGCAACTGAGGCCCCACTCTCCACTGCTCCTTTTGAGTTCAACTACAACTTTCTAACCTTCCTCAGTGCATCTGCAACTTGAATTAGTTTCTAGTGATGATACATCCCAAGCAGTTGATTTTTTTTTTTTTTAATTGAGCCAACTCCAAGAAAAAAGAAAAACAAAAAAGAAAATGCTCAAGGGCTTTCACTACTATTCACAGTCACTCTGAGATTGTATTACATCCTATAATGACAATAATGTTCCTTTGTCTCCAAACTTCTTGTGCGGTAGCACACAGTTGTTTCTCAGGCATCTCCCACAAACGATTTACTTTTCTCACTCTTGATACCTTAACTCATTCTCTCRGACTGACAAATACAATTTCTAGTTCAGATATTTTTACTTGAATGCTTTAGACAAATGGTTCCTGAAATATGATCCATAGACTGCCTGTCATCTGCTGAAAGTTGCCCTAGCACATGGAAGTGAGGATTAAATGAAAAACAAAAGTTGGAATCATTACGAACTTTTGTATTTGAGATGAGACCTGAATTATAAAAAAAAWTTGATTCTTTTATTCACTGTCCATTTGGACTATATCTGCACAAAATAAATTTGTAAATGAAATTGTACGGATACCAAAGAAGGCATCAAAACATTTCTTTGTGAAAAACAACTTATTTTTAGTAACACAAATGTCCTATTTTTTCCTATACTTGGTTTAAAACAAAAAGATTATTCATGTAAAGAAAACAAAAGCAAAAATGTTTTATATTAACATGACTTTGGAGCCTACTCTGACAAACTCTCCTGGCTGCAGCCTGAGTTTCAGTGATAACTGTCCCCAACTGTCTACTGTCACCTTTTCTCCTCCCTGTCACTGAAGATTATTCATCCCTCAAGCGTATTCATATAAGGTTATTTTAATCATGRTTCTAGATCTAGGATCTAGAAAACTTAATATGAGAAGTACAAACACATTACATTGTGGTAAACGACGCTGTACTCTTGAGGTATAACTGATTTCCAATACTGAATGCACAAAGAGAACTCTAGATATCTAAAGACAATTAAGGAGGATTGAACACACAGAGGCAMTCGCATACAACAGCATCACTACTCAGCCATTACATGGCAAGTATGAGACACGACCAATAAGTAAAGGGCTGAAGGGGTAAATGCAGCAGAAAAGTTCTGTCAAGCAGAAAGTATCTTCCCTCCAAGCTGAGCCTTTTCATTGGCACTGCCAAAGAAACAACACAAACTAGTAGAACTTAAAGTTTGTCTTCTAAAAGAGCTTAAAGCAGTAAAAACTTATGTAAGAATTTTCTTTCTTTGTTACTGAGCAGTAAAAWTTAAAGAGCTCTTGTTTTTCATATACTAATTCAAAATCATCATTTAGAAATTGCTGTATTTAACTGGACAGACAAGTTCAGATAMATTTCCTAACAGATTGTACTCCTCTCTACTCTTTTAGCTGTAARCTACCAGAGGAATCAGTGTGTCACAAAATAAAAATAAAAATAAACAGTAAGTTAAACATAGTAAACCAAAGCCATAATCGGATTAATAGAGTTATTAATGTGAAACATTTCATCTTAAAATTTTGTACTTGCAGTTGTGATAAGTTACCCATATGAGCTCTTTAACAAAAATTATTCCRAAATATTTCTCCATTTTATCTTCCTTCAAGTTACCTATTTTTGTTAACAGTGAATTCAATCAGGTGGAAAGATTAATCACCTTGGAAAAAAAAAATGAAAACTCTTAAGACAGTAGATACACTTTTCATACATCCACTATACATGCACTAGCTTTCTTTATACATACATTAAATAAACATAAGAGAAGTCTTGTAATACTACATTTACCATTTAGCACCTAAGGTCAATATCACCCAGAAAACAAGAATCAGAATCTAAAACTGTGGTTAGACTTAGTTCCCCATATGTTCAGTTACTACCAACAACTTATCTACTCCTTTCACAGCAAACAGAAATAGGTCTTCAAATTCATACACTGATAAATTGATTTAATAGCTACTCATACAATTAGGTCTACCACTAGATTTCCCAATAAAACCTCAAAGAAAATGATACTTCGTTGATTTGTAACCACAGCAATTGTGATATATTAGGTTTAAAGAAGAGATGATGACCACACACCACTTGTTATTTTACCTTAGTAAGAGATCACAACTGTATTAGTACTTTGAAATAGTCACATTAGTAGCTACAGCCAATTGAGGTAACAAATACTTTTTTTTTTAATTTGACCTTTTCAACAAGTTCAACAACAGCATATAATTGCATCTACCAGGCGAAGACCAGAACAGCCAGTTATTGCTCACTCCCAGCTCTTCACAACGTCTATCACAATAAACCTTAAAGATCCTCTCGAGACAATCTTAACGAAAGGTAAGTAAAGGCTGTAATGCCAAGCATTTTCATGAAGCACCCTCACCAGTACAATAAGCTCCAAATTCTTCAGATTAATTTCTAGAAGGCGTTACCAAGCTTTCAAACCATTACCTAGTATATGCCAGCGGTACAAAATTACTGGGTAGTTTTGCAACATATTCAAATAATAGAAGCACAAACGCAAGAGGAAGACGATTTACTTCATCATACAGACCTGGAGTGTCAAGGAAGTCCATTTAGAAAGGCAACAAGTTACATTTATTTAAACAGTACACAGCATTTTAAGCAGAGGAAACACTATCCATGCTAAAACAAAACACTAAAACCCAGAAAGATAGTTTGACCTGGCTCCRAATTCCACACTTAAGATTTTAAAATATTCCTTAAAATAATAGATACATTCACACACCCAATTTACTTGGAATGAAGTAAGCAAAGAAGAGCAGGTAACTTACTGCAAGTGCATTACAGGTTTTAGAACCACACAACATGGTATTTTTAGTGGACATGTTAGACTATACTACACAAGCTGTATTCTGCCTTTATAAGTAAAATTTATCATCTTCATATGTGCAATTTTTAAATTCTAGAATAAAAAAAGATACTTTGAAAGAAAATATTACCACCAATTCTGAGAAAGAAAAAGAAAGGAAAAAAAAAAAAAAAAGACATGGAAGAATCAATCTATTTTGGAAACTGAAAATGAGACACACATTACATCATTGCTCCAGCACAAATAAGTTCGTGACAAAATCTGGAACAAAAAGTCTCTTCATTCTACTTTACTAATGAATAGTGGTTTCAGTCAGGATACTGCAGGGCGCTTGGAATTGTCTTTCTTTGTTTTGGTTCTTAATTGCAGCACATGAAAAGCTTTTGTTGTTCTTTAATACCAGGATTTTTTTTTCTTCAATTCAGTAATGAAACGTTCTATACACAAATTTTGAACTTATTTGGTGAAACAAAGCACGGAAGAATCTTTTAAATTCGTGTTAACCCTCAAAGATTAAAAACGGGTATTTGAAAGATGGAAAGCATTGTCTAGGGGTAGTGAATTGCAAAGATATGTTACCTAAGACTACGAGAAAAAAAAAAAAAAAAGAGGGGAAAAATGGAATGTAAAAAGAAATGAGATAATTAATTTCTGGGCACTAATTAAGTCCTGTTGTCTGCTTTCTATTAAAGAAGTCTTTGCTTACTGCTAAAAAGGTTGACATGTATCCACACTAAGGAACCACTAATGCTAAAATAAAACCTGTTTTTGACTCTAGCAGTTTTCTAGAAAACCAGTTCTTCATCACTGGGTGGGGGGGAGGAAAATAAAAAAGTGTAACTAATGAAGAAAGAAAGAGGGAAAAAGTCTTAGTAATTTCGAATTAAGATCTTCTTGGAGAAATACATTACTGTTTTAATAGCACACCAAGCACGATTTGTTTCAGTCATTTCATTTTACAAAACAGATTCTATCTCCCTCCATTTGCCTATATTCATGTTTTACATCGAGGCAGAAACTTTCCTGCTAAGAATGCAATCAGGGAAGACACACTGGCAAAAGCAAATATTTAATTTTGGTGGTTTTGTTTAATTGTCAAAGTCATACCTGCCTTTCTGCATGTAAATAAATTCAACATGAATGTACTTTGAGAATCTTTTGATATTCATCAAACCTAAAAATGAAACAGTAAATGAGAAGATAGTAATACATAATACAATTTTACACCTGAAAATTAAGTTAACCACAAAAATCAGAGGAAATACAAAGACTATGTCGAGCACAGATGTCCAAGTTTCAACACACATGAATTTACAAACTCCAGATGGTTACAAATCCTTGACAAATAAAAATAAAAATATTAGTCTCTAGGCTTCACAGGTAGAGCTAATAGCTCACGGCCAAGGTACTGCRCTAGCGCTATAAACAACAGCATAACCTTTCATTTCTTTCAGGTTCAGATGGTCCCTGGGAGGTCCTGCTCAGCATCCTGCCAGTTAAACCACTGTCAGGAGGCTGCAGATACAGGAAAATACCAGCACATTGACCATCTCCAAAAATCTCCCTGAACTTGCCTCATTTCACTAGACAGACACCCAGCAAGGGATGAYACTTGGATTTTTTTATATATATATTATCAATCTTGAATGCATTTAAGGAAAACAAAGTTTCTTTCACCATTTCAACATGAAATTTTTGCCGTTTCATGCCTCATTTCAAACCACTAGATGCATCAGTGCAGAGTGGCTGCCCACTTGCATGATACTACCAGCTATGCACCCCATGTTGCACTGGCTTCCAGTATATATAATATATATAAAATGAATACATAATTTTCCACTTGCCCAAAACATTTTATTGGCAAAGTTGCTGCCTTGTCCCAAACRCTCTTCCCCATGATGCCACTACATCGCTATGAAGAAATCTCTGGCTTAAACTGGATGTTTTAAGGAGGGTCTCCACAGTGAGAAAAATCGACTGCAGAATTCATTTCTCCCATCCCCTCTCACCCAGTTAGGCACAGCCTAACTCTCTGAGGCCGGTTTTGAGACCTGAGAAGTGCCAAACTTCTGACAACAACATATAGATGGTCCAAGTTATGGAACATATAGATGGTCCAAGTTATGGAACATATAGATGGTCCAAGTTATGGAACATATAGATGGTCCAAGTTATTGCAGGGCGAGGTCAAGCTGGCGGTGCCTGCCCTGAGCTGCCAGCCTGTCGCGTACCCCCTATATCGCCCACACATCCCGCACCGAGGTGGCCGCCCCCAGCCCCCGGGGCGGCCGAGGAGCCCCCAAGGCGCCTCCCGGCAGGAGGCGGCTCCTTCCCACGGGGCTCGGCCGGCGCCGCGGGACCCCCGGGCGGCTCCTCCTCCGCGAAGGAGGGTCCGGGCGCGGCGCGGCGCGGCGCTGCCCGCTGCCCGCCGCCCTCCTCCCCGGCCCTGCCCTGCCCTGCCCACCGCCGTGCCCGCGCCGCCTCCCTCCTACCTGCGGCCCGGCGCTACGCRGCGCGGAGCAGCCCCGGGCTCCGGCACCCTCCGGACGCCATTTTGTCTCCAGCCTCGGAAGTGACGTTTTGGGGCAGGGGGGAGGCAGCGGGCAGAGCCCCCCCCTCATGGACCCCCGCCGCCTCCCCGCGCCGCTGAGGCCGGCGCCGCTCATCGCACCTGGGCGGCCCGCCRTGGAGCGGCTTTCTCCTGCCCGTTTTCCTCTTTATTCCCTTTTTTTCGCGGTGACGCGGCGCTGTTTTCCTCCCTCGGTCACAGAAATGAGCGTGGAGGGAGAATAAGGACAATAAAATAAATCGCAGGCGAGGCTGGCGCCTCACACCTGGCGCCCGGTGTGAACCTGCTCCTACACCGTGTGCGCCCACAAAAATCCACTGTCGTATTTCCTAACCAGCTACCCGACAGTAGACCCGAATTGTCTCTGAACTTATCAAGCCAAATTTCCTCTCAATAAATTCATATATATATAGGAGAAATAATTTTTATATAAATGTACATATATATATTTTTTACCATTGGGTATCAAAGACATCTCTAGCTCTGTTTAGTTGGCATGGTAAAATGGTTTTGATCCTCATTTGAAGCTTATATTCATAATACAGTTGTAATATGTTTGGAAAGAAATTGGGAACTGCAGCACRTTGGAGTGTGGAGAATTTGCCCCCCACGTACGGGAAAAGCACGTTAGCCCCAATAGGTGACAGCCACGTTAATGTAGTTGTTTTAGATTAGAGTTCTAACATCCAGAAATGTTTTAGAATTGACCTSTTTTTCATATTCCTTATGCCTGTAGGTCAAGGCAAGAGAGTAAAAGCAGGGGCAAGCAGGACACACCATGTGTTCCCATGGCACCAACAGACAAAAATCCTGTTCCGAGGGAAGTTAGATGATTTCCTTGTCAAGTAAGCAAAGAAATTACCTAGACACAAATTCCATTTGTGTCAAATCTAAGCTTTTTAAAACAGCCCACCACATTTCYGGCTAACACAAGATAACCTTCTAACAGTGGGGAAAAGACAGGCTCTGAAGCCAGAGACCTTTAATGCTTCTGTTTTCACACGTAACTTTGTCAAGCAACAGCAGAAAGCGAATAAGGACACAGTCATCCTCCCATCTAGAATACTTAGGACATACTTATAGTTTAAAATACTGTTTAAGAACTCCAAAACCAATTTTGAAGCCTCTAGTTTTGGCAGTGGCAAGATCTTCATATCATCATGCTTAGAATACTTATCAGGCTAAATTAACTTCACTTAAGATAACACTTAAAACTTACAAGCAAGCTAGTCTAATTCCAGCTGTGCTTTTTTAGCGAAGCACTTTACAAATTAGAATCGTATTATACTGAGAGCAGAGAATGTAAATCCAGACAAAAACACGTACTATATGAGCTAAAGCACAAACTATTTTGTAGTTTGTAACTAACTTAAGAGCTAAGATTTTTCTGTAACCTTTTATCTGTTTATTTGCTGAAGATAAAGTGTAAGTTGTTCTTTATCAGCTATTGCAAGTAGTGGCTCAAAACACTTACCAACTTTGAAATCACTATGCCTTTACCAGATTCTATGTTTTTAGTTCTGCATGCTCTGGAGAAGTTAGAATGGGTAAAGTACTGACCTGAGTACTGACTCTTCCAGAAGGATTTAATCCATGTCAAGTAGCGTTTCCCCTGTATTTGTCTTGCTGATTATTCGTCTTGTAAATCGTGTATGATTTTTGTGCTGCTGTGACTCAGCTAATAAAAAAACCCCAGTTTTTAAAAATTGAAAGGGAGGCTAGAAGGATAGGGACTGCTATTTATCAGCCTTTCCTTTAAAGAAATGCAAAAGCTACATCAAATATACAAGGGTGGCATTTGTCCAAACTGAAAAATATATTGGCTATTTTGATAACCACTGCTTTTCACAGGTAGAATATTAGGTCTTAATTCCTTATTCTTCTTCAGTTGTCTTTCCTTTCAAGGTAAAACTTAAATGACTCTTCTCCTGTGCTGTCAGGCTTTATTACCATTTGAAAAGGGGCCTCAAAGATCAGGGCAGTGTGGAGAGCTGCCTTGAAAGCTCTGTTTGCCTTCAACAGGGGAGAGAGCCTTTATCAAAGTTCAAAGCCATGCTACTTTTTGAAAATAATTAGTACCTATGTTATAACTGATAATAAAAGCCCTTGACATAGCACAGATGAAATCACTTATGTGGTCATAAGGATTTATTTAGGAGTGTCATTGTTAGGCGTGTATTTTTTTAAGATGAAAGTTGGGAGGGAAAGGGGGATACTGTTTTATCTCTTGCCTGGAATTAATAAGACTAGCTGGGAATTATTACATAGTAGAAACACATCACTTATAAATATTTTAGCAGCTCACTATTGATGTAGAAGCCTTCCATGTAAGAATCTTCAGGGCTTTCAAACTGCTCGTTTAAATTATAAATTACAAAGCGTGTTGAAAAATTCTACCTCACCTGAATAAGAAATGCTCCAGAAAACTAACCTGATCTTGCCCTCAGAAGTGTCTCTGAAGCAACAGACTGGCAGCATGAAGAGGCAGGGAAGGGATTTTTTTCTGGCTGAATGTCGGGGCACATGAAGGAGTCACTCCTCTTGCATTGCAAACGGAGCTTCCTGTATGAATCTGGTCTCAAACGCTGCAGTTCTGTAATTCAGCCTCTTCCTTGCACTAATCTGTTGTGCATCAGGGTATATAAGTGGCTTCACACTCTTGTTATAGAACTTATCGTTGTTCCACATTGCCCAGGAACTGTTTGTATGAGGAGGTCTCGTAGTCTGTGCTGGACTTGGTACCTCTTTTACTCCTCTCTATTGACRGACAGAATCTACTTCCCTTGTTTGCAAGGTTTTGGTTTTGTCTATTATATTGCATAGTCTTATTTTTGCTTGAAACATAGGTGAATTGGCCAATATGTAGAAATGGACCTTTGCTTTCCTCTCATTTAACTCATGTGATAATATATACCACCTGGTGGTATTCTAGGGAAATTTCACTTAATACACTATTCCTGATGGTCAGAAAAGACTTCAAATCTTCAGTTGCTTGCGTCTTTTTTTTGCTTGCAAAACTCCAATATTGCCTTGTTTGTACTCTCTTAAAAAAAAAATAGTTTCCATGTTGCAGGAACTTTAACATAAATTTAAGCACATAATGAAGTGTTACCATCAAGGACTTTTCTCCCTGGATAATCCAAAGTGGCCTTGAAAACAGCTTGACTGAGGTGATACCAATATGCTCCGTTCTCTCCTTAATCGAAACAAGGCCTGTTTTAACAAAACTGTTCTAGTCTCCCTTATAAACACAGGAGCTAATGTGCTGAGTGTTATGGTTTTTGTTGCTCTTTCTCAGGGGAGTCCTACTGCTGCACAGCTTGGGTTCTGCAGTACTTAAATGCAGTGCAATGCAGCACAAGGCTATTTTAAATAACACTACCTGCTTTTCTGGAAGGAGTAATTTTTTTCTTTTAATAATAAGGTGGAAAAACTGGCTGAGGTGTTCAGCAATTTAGTAACTAGTGAAGTACATAGGTAAATTGTACATCAAATACCTTAGGTAATAAAACTGATTCTTTACAAACCGTGGGTATTTCAAGTACTCATTTCCTGTTCCGATGGTGCCTTCCGAGTCTCAAAGATCTTTTGCTGTGTCTTATTTTGTTTTGTTCCTACTTTCTGTAGTCTGAGTCTTTTGGTTAAAGATTTTATTTAAATATCTAACCTTTTGTAGCAACCTAAGGTAGTTATCAAAACTAGCTTTCATTAACATTGTAAGCATGCTCTATGAAATCACTGTGTACTTTTGGCTTTGGAAGTTTTTGCTTTGGAAGTATTTTAAACATGAGGAATAGTCTTGATGTCTACAAGACTGCATATAATAATCTGAAGTTTTTCTATTACCATCAAATTCCTTCTATTAAAAATGGTTTCGTTAATTCTTGCCRCTAGCTGGTGCTAGGGTACAATTTACTGAATGTTCAGTCACAATGAGTTATCTGCATCGCTAGGCTGCAATTAAGGAGTCTTTTCCTTTTAGTATTCTGTTTATATTTCTCATGCTATTGCCTCTTTCTGGTATTTCAAATCTTAAGTCAGGTTCTCACTTTTTTTTAATGCAATGAAAGTATACTTTGCCTTTTCTAAGATATTTCTGTTCCTTCCTAYTGAGGTAGTCAAGCATACTTATTATGGAAGTAAGCTAATTATTAGTCATAACAAAATGAGCTAGAGAAATCATCARGAAAGCTATTTTCAAGGACTACACAATTAGATTTAAATATTTCCTAAATCCAACACTTCTGGGTATAGATGAACAGATGGCAGGTTTTGTCTCCCCATGGGTTGTAATTAATAGCACTGAATGTTTTCATTATTGCATTAATATTTTGGCTGCTACAAAGAGACAGATCTTACTGCCAAGTGTAGTTTCCTCAGGGTAAGTCCAGCCCTSAATCACCAAGGTAACATTATGCAGMATTTCACATTACCTAAATGCTTTCACTCTTGTACTAGTAATATGGGGTTGTCTCTGCTTAAAAGAAACTTTTTAAAATTTATTTTATTTGTTTTTCTTTTTTTAAGGACTTTTTCTGAATCCCATGTCTCTAAAGTTCTGCCTAAATTGTAGCAAGTGAGTTGAAATKATTTCCAGGACCCCATTAAAATCTACATGTCTACTCCTGTCTTTCCAGCAAAATATGCAAAACCTTGCGGGCATTCTTTAAAGTGCTCATTTTTCTGGTGTCCTCTGCTGTCTCACTGTGGAGGGCTGCTGTAATGTCTATTTTTTTCCTTAAGTGATAAGGCCCTGGGAATATAATGCCAGGTGCACTTAATGTGGGCAAGAGACATATGGTGTAATAAATGGGCAGCATAGTTACAGAATCAGTTTGGTATAAGCAGGAAATCGCTGCAAAGGTCTCCAAATGTCTSTTCTTTTTCTCAAATGGCATTCATATGCTGTATTTATGTTTCCAATTCATGTGCTGGCTACTTGTTCAYCTCTGAATACCTTTTTCCAAAATGCCATAAAGGAAATGAGGAAGAAATGACATTCCTGTCTTTCCCCTGAGAATACTCTTCCCTATCTTCTGAATGACTCAAATATGTCATGAAGAAAGATATCCACAGGACTCAGAAGTRTGATATTTGAGGATAATGTAGTCGCTGATAGCAGGAAATGAATTTACTTTCAAATTTCAATGTGGCATACAATACCATTTCCCAAGAATAACAAAAGCATCAGTATGATTCAAGTTGCTTTGTTCTAAAATGTTTAGTTCTTCCAGAGTGAAGGGGGATGACTTGTTCAATAGTTAGGTTTGACCATTTCTAGTTTTCTTAATGAAGTTGTAGGTCAGTCTTGCCTTAATATGTTACCAGATGGCAGTGTTATTTTGTAGAAAAAAAGCTAAAGACTTACCCTGGAGAAGAACGTTTTCTTTAAAATGTTATTAGCTTCTGGTTCTGCACAGAGAAAAGGGGGATTCTTTGTGAGGGGTAGGTCAGATTTTTGCTTTAAAAGACTTTTATACCATTTGTTCTCAAAACCTATTTTTTTATAGTGGTGACTATTGGTTTGCATCATCCACTGCCATGCTCCCTTTACCAGTGGAAGATAAAATTGTAATTACTCTGTTACTGCAGGCTCTTCCAGGGTTACTTTCCACCTGAGAAACTGAACCTTATTTATGTCAGCGTTGCTATGCCGTCTCTGAAGGAAAAGGTCCAGTTATAAATCACAYCCAGAACAGAAAGATTCAGATCACTGGGTGGATAATAACTAATGATGCTTTCGAAGATGTGAGCCCTGAAAATGCATCTCCCCCTCTGGCTTGCTAAGGCAGAGTTTCTTCCTGGACTGGGGAGAAGATGTGTCAAAACTCTTGCTATAAAGTTGGGTTTTTATTGAATAATTGTAATTTGTGGAGAAGTTCATGTCAGGATTTTACGTAATTATTGACCAAGGGTAGAGAGAAGTAGCAGCAGGTCCATGATGAGACATTACCCAAAAGGTACATTTAATTCTACTCTGCTTTCTCTGATAAAATCCAGAAAATACTTAACAGAAATCACTTAATGTGATTGAATTCTTGCATTCCACTAAATTCTTAAAATCAAGCTGCCTAGTTTGGGGACCATTGTTTGTATTGATATAGGTGCTACATTAGGATTCATGAATAAGGATATGGTACCCTTGTTAGTTGCCTGTTGTCCTTAGGAATGAGGTTTGGAATTCAGGGTTATAGCATAAATGTCAGAAAACTGAGTCTAAAAAGAAACACATAATAAAAGATGGAAAAAAAATGCAGAAACTCAGGGATACCTCATGCAAATCCATTATGTTTTTAATCAGTATGGAAGTGTGACTGAAAAGGAATTCTTAGTGAGAATTTCAGTTCTTCTCCCAACTCCCTCTGTTTTTTACATTTCTTTTTTTCCCTGGATGGCACTACTTGGCTTTAAAAATCTCAAAATCATCCTTGCCAACTGCTTTCTGGAAACGGCACACAACCTTAAAAATGTGTGGAATGTGAAGCACTGCCTGCCTGCTAAGACACTAGCCAACTTAGCRTTTACAGGAGTCGGAAGATTGGCCTTTTCCAGGCTGGAAGAGCCTAACGAGCTACTTGATTGAATGGGGATCTTTGTGTCTTGGCCCAACTGTTTGTTGCAGAGCGGTGGGGGCTGTGGCTTTGGTCTGGTGCCTAAATCCACAAGGCCTGGACAAAGACACATGCCTAGTGTGATGCTGGGTTTATTTATACATAAATGGCTCTGTGCTGCAGCTGTGAGGTGTACAAAGCCATAATTCAAACTTCTTATTATGGCACCTCGTGTCAAATTACATATCTGCTCCTACTCTCTAAGTCCATTAGTTGCCATCTAAAAAAACTAGGTGCTATACACTGGAATATATTAATATATTACAACTTAGAAAACAACCCTCTGGAAAAGGATGATGATGGTTAATGGAATAGTTTGAGTGAATCCAAATACAATAGCTTCCTCAGCCATGATATAAGCCAGGCAAAGCTTTGAGCTTTAAATACTACTTCTTCAATGAACAAAAATTCAGATAATTTAAGAGCATCTTAAATGGCAAATTTAACTCATGACATAACCCTGGGCAAATCACTTAATCTGTGTTATCGTTTCCTGAACTGGAAGTAGCACTTGCTGTCCTCAGTCGGATATGTCAGGGCTCTCGAGCTATTTGAGGACTTTACAGAAAGTGGTGATGTGGCAAACGGGACTTTCTCTTTTGTAATATACCTCTTAAATAATACACAGTTAAATAAGACACTTGCAGTATCATAACAGAGGTRCATAAAGCACAGAAAATTATTCCCATTCAAAATAGCAATTCCTGGGTATTTTAATTTGTATTTAAATATTAATAACACTTCCTAAATTTACAAAAGTTGATTGAGATTTCCTTTTTCTTCTGGTAAATACTTTATAATTAGTGCTGGATTTATTGAATTATTCATTTCTAGGCATTTCCAGTTTGCACAGCAAGTTCTTATTTTTTTTTATTGTGAAAGTAAAAATAATGTCTTATGATGAACACTTAATCATTGTATTGACACCTAGATGTGTTATAAATATCGATGCATCAAGCCATCCTTGCTGCAATGCTTTGCTACCTCTGTATATTTCTTTCACAGACAAATAAGGGGACAACTGTTTATGGTTTTTTAGTGACATCTGACTTTCTCACAGGAAGCCTGGTGCCGGCTTGTCTGTTGGTGAGAGCCACATTCATGACTCAAAGCCAAGCTGCAAAGGGAACATTACTGTTACAAACCATAAAGGAATGAGCATGATCAGGAATAGGAATTCCAAATTAACAGCAGCAAGTGTTGATATATTGAATGCGAGTAAAACTCTAAACCAGCCATCTGGTCAAAGCAGGGCGCTGTCATTTCCTGATGAGCTCTAATTTATAGGAAATCACCTGGCCTTGGGGCCAGATTCTGCAAGCATGTTCATACATTTCAGCTATGTCAGTAGTTGCCCAAGCCAACGTGTTGCTTGACTCACAGGAAAGCAGAAAAGGTCTGAAGTCCACACAAAAAGAATATAATTTGTGTTAAATTCTCTGAAATCATGAACTGGTAATGAATGGTGTTTTAGAGCTTTTTTTCATCGTGATGAAAATGAAGACATAGGACACAGTTGTAATTCATACAAGAAACGTAAATGTCCTTAGAAATTTATAGAGGTTATTCCTAAAACTCTTGTATGATGAAGTTCAGGGAGTTGCATTAGGAATTCTTCAGTAGCATAAAAACATATTATTTTTTTAAATGAAGCTTTTCATGTAGAAGTCGTTGTTTCCTGAGGTTTATTTGAAGCTAAGTGGGGTGTTTTTCTACACCTAAGATTTCCAAGCATCAGGTAGTATGAATTGTTAGAACATCAAATGCACCAGTACCAAAGCAGGATTGTCTTGATGTAGACAGAATCATCAAAATGAAAGTCTTCTGATCTTCAAAGCTGTTTTCTCTAGCCCTTTACTTTATTTTGCTAACTGCACGTAGTAGATTTTAAAAAAAAATCAGTGCTTAAATAATCATTATCAGATRTTAAAAGGAAGAAAAGCACATCACTTAAGTGGACAAATATACTTTGACAGTGTAACACATTGAATACATCCATGTGTTACACCAGTTTATTTCATGGTACTATATCACCGTCAACAAATGCTATGATACCTGCTTTGATCTGAATTGTAGCACATCAGATGAGTACTTAACAAGCATCTGACCAGAAATCCCTTAAAGCCCGTGTCACGTGTGTGTGCATAACAACATACTGTGTGGTTTTACTCTACAGTAACAATCTGAATCACATTGAGATGCGCGGACTCCTAAAATAGATTAAGGTATATTACCATTTCCTTTACAAACAGCCTTCCTTTAAAACCTTTGGTAAGGAGTGGCATTCCTGGTAAACATTACTTCTAACAACTTTATGTGGCTCTACTTAGTGACAGTCAACTGTAATTGAAATCCAAATATGTTTGCATTCTAATATTTACTGTCTACATCCAGATATCAGAAAATAGCGGTTTTTTTKGCAGATGGGACAGGAAAACCACACATCTAGATATCACAGCCTTCAAATCTGGAATAGAATCATTCTTAGTGTGAGCTGGTCTGAAGACAAAAAAACTTGGGGAAGTTCAAGTCAGTAAGATCTAAAAGGAGGCTTTCATGATGTGTACAACATAAACGTGGCTCAGTTGCAATATCTGCTAACTGCTCACCTGGCTTCTTCCTCTTGTTCCTTCTCATAAACTCATTAGATTCACTGAAGTGCCCTTCTGCATGAGCTTGAATGTGCACTCAACGGGGTTCTAATTTTTTCTCAGCTGTTTAGTTTTGACCATCATGACTAAGTTTCCTTAGTCATACTCAAAGGAATGCATCAAATGTTTAAGTCTCAGAATCGCAGAAACATAGAGATGGTAACATACTCAACAGAAGTTAGAAAATGATATGTAGTATATTACTTAACATTGTAAAACRTGATCATCTTTATTTCCAAAGCTTAGATTGATATAATAGTTCATGGCACAGAGAAAACAGCACAAATCTAAAATGACTTGTTTATTACTCACTGGCAATGTGAATTAAGTCCATTTCATACCAAGTAGGCGAGTGCCTTAGTTTAGACAACGTGAGACATTTGACACTGCCTTTTCCTTGAACTCTGCACACTTTGAAAACTAAAAAGACATACTTTGTTAATGTGATCTGATCTAGTGTTGTATAGTGATCAAGCAAGTTTACTTTGCACTTAGAAAATGAGTCTGTTATAAAGGAAAGTGTATATTAATTCAAAAGCTTCTATGCATCAGAAGTAACTGGTTAGTGACCCATCAAAAGTGGGCATATTCCAAGCACCCTTTAATTTAGGATGTGTACTTCAATCTCTGTTCCTCACCGCACCAAGAGACGGTAAGTTCTTAGTGTAAGTGAGCTGAGCAAGTTTTCAGTTGGTAGGTCAGTTCCAGCTGGGTCTACCACACCTTGGCACATAGGTATAAAGGCAAAAATAGCAGTGTTGATAGTGGAAAGGCTTAGGTTTGTTTGGCCTAATTTGCTTATGAAAAACARAGATAATTCAGTCTCCAAAGCTCATTCCTTGTCAGCAAGAAGTTTCATATTTTGCTAAACTAAACATTAGGTAGAGGAACATGCCAAAGCATTTTGGAACACTGAAGGATACAGTAGTATCTCAGTGAGCTTAAGAGAGAAGAATCTGGATATGCTTTTTTATTTTTTTTTCTTTTTCAGAATGAATAAAATGCACTGTAAGATAACTACCTTTGCGTGCAGTGTTTAAAATCAAGCTAGCATATGTTACCTGTAAATCACACTTTGGATGAATCCCTCTTCTGCATTTTTTTCTTTTTCCTACTGCATAATTTTCACTTCCTCTAATCTATGCCTTGTTAGTAAAATCCTGTGAGGTGTTCCATGTTCAGTAAGTCTGTAGGAATAGTCGTTTASAGAGTTTTGTGAGATCCCCATAGATGTGAAGTTCTTCAGCCATCATTTCCATGGATCATCTTCTCACACAGAATACAAGAATAGTCTCTAGTGCTTATAGGATAAGAAGYACTTAAATTTACCAGCATAAAACAGCACGGTCACTTGTTTCAACTATTTCTAGGGCCTGTCAAAACAAATAGAAAGATATTATCTTTTGTGGTTCATGGAGTTAGCCAAATGTTAATTATGATCTTTCTTCCCCCTCCCTGTCCTTTTTTGTTRCCTCTTTCTCCTTTCCCAGTTACTGTAAGTATAACTTGTTTCTTGCCTAGTGGTAAATGTAGTTAGTGATTTTTTTTCTCTAAGCCTGCAACAGCACTTAGTCTATTCCAGAACTAGTCAAAGTAAAATGAAGACCACCTGTCAGTGTTAATGTGGTACCCAGCACTTAAAGAACTTCAAGTCCTACGATCCTTTTTAGTGAATTTCCACTTTATGCAGTAACTAACCCCCAAACTTATGCATATTACCTGGGCATGCACCCAGTACCCATGACACTTTAAAGTGCACAAGGGTGTTTCAGAAGATGCATTGCACTAGCAGCTCCTGATGGATCACAGGGCACTGTTTAACAAAAGTGGGTATGTCTCAGTCAAATTGGAAGTATCAGGAATTTGGAGCGGTGACCTTGCCTGGAGAGAAATGCTTGTCTAATTTTAATGGAGACACTCATGGCTATTGAATACCAACAGTTTATAGGCTTGTCTACTACTAAAACTACTACACTGCAAAGACTTGCTTGTGTTCAGCTACACCCAGAAAAGCCTGATTAGTAATTTACTTACGAGTACCTGCCTGACATCTTCCTTACAACAGCAATTATGATTCCTGCAAGGATTCCAACCGCTACAATGATTCCAGTAATGATTCCAGCAAGTGCAATTGTTTCCAGACCACCTGAGAAGGAAATGAACAGTTAGTATTTTGTGCATGGGAACACAGTGGCTCCTGATAGTACAGATGCTTTTCTGTACCTTCAAGGCAGTAGGGAAAACTTTCTATCTTGTGGACTTTCAAGCAGTGTTTCTAATTCAGTATGTTCTTTTTATTCCTAGCCTTTGTGCTAGACTGAAAACTTGATTTTACTGGACATGCCTATACAGTGCACAGAGACTTGCAAAGCCATTCCTCTGTTAAGATTATCTGTATAGGGTGCAGGCCTATAACAGTATATATGCTGCCGTGCTAGAGGGTTCTCCTCAGAGGTACCTGTGGTGACAGATTTTCCTAGGTAAGCCGGTGAGTTGGGGGAGGCAGTTCAGGGAGCGTCGCATGGATATAACTAATGGTGTCTGGAAGTGTTGCCACTTGGCAGCTAAATTCTCTTGCCCTTGTAATTAGTTATTTCATTTAATACCTTTCTCAGTTTCTTCTGGTTCTCTACTTGGTCCACCTGCAAAGCCAGAAACAAAATAATTATTTAGATTTTTTTTTCATATCCAAGTTCAGACTGTTATATCCTCTGAGAGCTTTTAATTACACCCCAGTGGTAGAGGATCATAGGTTCTTTCTCTGATAATGAGCAAATGAAAAATTCCACATGAATTCCACATGAAAAATTCCCCGTGAAAGAGCTCTGAAATAATAAAGATTAAGATAAGAGTGACGGAACCTACTACTACCTACTAGTGAATTTTCACTCTGATCACATAAAAATCAATAAGAATATACCTGGTATAGTCTTAAATTAGAAATCAGGTTTCAATTGCTTGAGAAATATTACAGTAATAAAAGCTTTGCTGTATTTTCAGTGTATCTGGTAAACTGTTATTTGTCTCAATCAGGGGCAAATTTGTAGCTGAATTTCCAGTAAAGATGAAACAGGGTCCCTGTTACTTCATTAGCAGTACCTCATTCTAAATGTTTTGCATATCCTATATGAGAAGTCTGAAAATTGTACTTCTAGAATTCAAACCTGGTAATCATAACTTCTCTTTAACAGCAAGCAAAGATAAGACACCTCCACTCTTGGCAGGCAAGCAAGCTGGCAAAGGAGACACAAACACATGCATTTTTAAATGAATTTGAAGGTTATAATATTGCTATAGAGCATGGAAAGAAGCTGGCCAAATAAAGAGGTGTTTGTGCATAACTTGTTTAGAGCTAATTGGTTTGAACTGCTTGAGGAGAAGAAATAAATACACATACTGCAGAATTTCAGAGAAATATCTACCCCCATATTTGATTTTTCCAGTTTTGAAGGAAAGGCTGCATGCCTAAAGCAGCTGGCGTGAAGGTTGGCACTTGCCTTGCCTAATTCCAAGTCACTAATGAAGTCTAATCAGTATATTGACAGATCTCCCAGCTGCACAGGACTTCTCAGTGTGGCTTGTGATCAGAGTTTTAAGTTTGTTCTTGAGGCAAATGTGCTGAGGATCCATTGGCATCTGACCTTCTCGGATAATTCTAGGTGCTGATAGTATCATGACAAGAGAAATAACTTATGGTAYATTAGAAAAGAAAAAGATTTTACCTTCATTTTCAGTGGTAACTTCATAATCAGCAGTGATATCACTGTCTTCACTAGCAACATCTCCACTTTTTGTGGTCATCAGTTCTGCAAACTCCAGGAGGTTTGTTACACTGTGTATTTTGGTGGGCAGCTAAAATGATTAGAGAAAATGAGGAATTAGGGAAAAAATACTGAAAAATCAGTATTTTCAAAATAAGCATTTGAAGTTCTTGGGTTTGCCAGCTTCCAAGTGAATGGATTTTTACCCTCTCATTTTCTAGCGGCTTGTGCTGAATGATCAGAGGAAAAAAAAAAGTCAGTGAGCTGCTTTGTCTTCCTTGGTAGAAGTTTAGAACTCAGATTGGTCCTTTATAATTCAYTGCTAAAATCACGGGGACAATGTAAGACCCAAGATAATATCAGGAATGTAATTTCGGGGTAATGTAAAGGAACCTTGATTTAGAATGATACTCACCAGAGTTGGTGATTCTTCAAACTCTGTGTCATTTCTGTCTCGGAAATCAATGGTTGCACTTTCTTCTCCTTCAAGAACTGAGCTTGCTGAAATAAAAAAAAATTGTAAGTTAGAATTTTATTTGATAATTCAATATACAGGCTGCTTTGATTGAAGTATGTTAAATATGAGCTATCTATTTAGTGATCAATCTGTCCACTTAGGTGTACAAAATTCTTTGGATTTGGATTAACTTCGTGGTTTTTTGTTTTTTGTTTTTTTTTTTTTTTAATATCATTGTTCGGTATTTCAAACATGATATGGGGTATATGGGATATAGCTAAAGTTTGGAAAATATTCACGGAAATCTAAAGTTTTTTTATTTGTTCCTTTGTTTTCCTTCTAATGCCAGAAATCTAATTTCACATACTTCCGATTTTAAATAACCATGCAGTGTCTCCGTTTCCCATTTTTAGGTTTATATGCGTCATCCCTACTCCTTGGCGCAATAAACACTTTTTTGCTGGTCTGCAAAATCCTTTGGTTTTCTTCACAAGGATGCCCAAATTTCATCAACAGGGAAAATGAGATGCAAAGAGGTAGTTAACTCCAGTTTCATAAACAGGCATGATTATAAAGCTAGGTGAGGCCGCTGCTTACTCTGCAGCCTGGGCTGCAAGTCCWGCTAATTCTAGATACTGGTGTTTAAGTGCTAAGCGTAGGCACAGACCTGAACAAMAACCTAATGCATAAACTCTAACACTCCTGGAAAGTTCTTATCTGGAGTCAAACTTAGTACCCGACTTTTGCTTATTTCAGTAATCTGAGCAAAAGTTTGTTCAAACTCTTCTTGAAATCCAACATTTCGGTTTGGTCCCTAGCACAGTGCTGAGTTACTGGGTTACCCCTCTCTAACGACACACGGCCGAGATCTTTCCTTTCTGCAAGAAACCAAACACCAGTAATCTAAACTTAGATTTCTGACTCCGTGTTTATTCCGGTAATGAGAATTTTATAAATAGGATTTTATATTTATATGCATTTATTTATAAGGCTCGGTATAGATACACTCTATTTAAGAGCAAAAAGAAGGGTGTGGAAGTTGCAATTTAGGTACTAACAGATGAAGAAAGTGTATTCATGTTATGCCAACATGACGACTAATATAGGTTGGAATACAGCTTCCCACCTTGGAATCCCAAGGGCTGCAAAGTCAGGGACAAAATCTTTGGCTTTGGTTTCTAAAGTAATGCCTTTAAACTGTAGTATTTTGATTTTGGTATGTGTATGTTAATTGTAAAGAGAATTGCATCAGSTCAACATGAATTTTAAGGATCAGTTAAGCTTGACAATGCCTGTTAAAACGGAAAATAATTTTTTGTTCACTAACAGAACCAGCACAGATGGAGAAAACTAATTATCAGAGGAAAAAGACAAATGTTCATATACTGAACTTCACAACTAACAACTCGTTCAAGGGATCATTCCTCTTGTTGGCATGGCTRTAGCTTTCAGCCCTAAAGAATTACTGATACTGAAGGTGTAAAAGGAAACGGTGTCGCAGAACAAAGGTGTAGAGAATTTAACATTTTCTGTTTGTGGTTATACATGGTTGCAGATGTGAATTAATCGTTGTATTTCTGTCTGCCAAAATTCCAGCTGGGTCCATTTCAGTTCAAAGTCCCCAGCTGCTATCAGGCTGCAGCTTCTCACACCAGGAGAAAATTGAGATCTTTAAAAGTTTAATATTGCTTTGAAAGCATGGAGCGGTTAAACATCCCATGACCCGCGTGGGGAAAGATGATTTCACTACTCGTTGTTATTCATAGAGTGACAGTTTACTAAAAAAAATCTCTCTTTGGGTTGCTTTCAAAGCACAGTGGTTGTGTTGGGCAAGGCAATGAGTTGTAAAACTTGGTCATTAGCATTTCTTTCAGGTACCTCCAAAAACAACAAAGATGCTTTTGAAAATGAAAAATATTAGAGGATCCTCTTTCTGTCTCAGCAGTCTGGATAATCCCAGGCATCAGTGGGTTTAGGAATCCTTGCATCCGTGTTTCAGCTCATCTTTGAAACAGGAAGCCTTCCAAATGGAATGAGTTTCAGCCTCTCAGATGAGGAGAAGATTGCTAACCTTGTCTAGATACAGAATTGAGCGCGACTGGTGACTTAGGAGGTATCACTCTTTGCTTTGATGTGAYATTAGATTTAACTGATCAGGGTTTTTTACAAATTCTGTTTCTTGAACTATTACAGAGCAAGTGGCAGTGCTTGGAGGACTCTGCATGTAYGTGTGTCTGCTAGCCGTGCCCTTCTGGCCATATTTTATTTAGGTTTTATGTTTCAATAGAAGTCCCTTTCTGAGGAAGCATGCTTAATTTTTTGAGCTTAACTTGGGTGTGAGCAAAGTGAGTCTTGCACTTGGTCTCTGCAATTCCTCTTAACTCCTAAAAATGCTTATCATAATTAAAGATGAGTCCCTTTTCTTATAGATTGCTTCTTCAATACAGACAAGTCCAGGCACTAAAATATGAATAAAACTACAAAATTTATCAGGCTATTTTTTTTAAATTTGATTTTAAGGAAGAACTGGATTGTTACTGACATTCTGGATTTTGAGCCTTTGGACTGTTGCATTTTCACTCTCTTAAAAGCCCAGTAATAGTTTCTTAAAACAAGGACTGAAATTCTCTTTTGTACCCATGACTCCAGCAAAATTCTTGATGCTTGCAGTATCCTGAGAGCTTGCTGGGATTTGGCCTGTTTGAGGCCACAGTATTGGAATTTCTAGTTTTTATATTTTCATTGGTTCTTTTGGGAGTTGGGGTAGCATGTTGTGGCCTGATTCTGGGATATTTAGCGTCTAGATTGTAACGTCCACAAGAAAATCACAGAATCACAGAATCCTTAAGGTTGGAAGGGACCTGTAGAGATCATCTAGTCGCACCCCCTGCACGAGAACGTACATATCTGTCTAATCTAAGGTTGTCTAATCAAGGCTGTCTAGTCTATGTACCTGTTGCCTGTTCCATATGTGAAAATTGGCATTCTTTGCCTTGTATAGTGAAGGCAGCTGAATGACAAAATACCCTGAACTTSAGAAGCATCTAGCAGTTGAAAACAAGGTTGTGGTACCCAAGGAGAGATTGAGTTAGGCCCTACTCAGAGCCTGCCGGAGCTGGTTCAGCTGCTGCGTAGCTCACGATGACAACGTTGTGCTGAATTGTCAGAAATATTTCCTGTGGTCGCCACACCCTGCTACAGATGGTTTCTGTTGCTGCGCCTCGTTTAGCCAGGGGAATAAAGCCAGAGTTTAAATCCAGAGTGCTGAGTGGCAAAGAACCGTACGTCTGTTTCTAAAATAATTGCATGTCTTTTGAATATTTCAACGTTACATTTAATAATGCCCAGCCGTCGGATACCCACACAAAACCAAAACATTTTGACTGGGATAGACAGAGAAAAAATTGCAGTTTAAGAGCTTGCTATACACTCATGATCAGTAGGAAAAAGAATGAAACAAGGCTGAAGAAAAAAAAAAAAGTAATAGTTTACTAAGCTTTTTCTATTATACAAGATAAAATCGGCCACAGAAACATGATTATTAAGGAAAGGCTAACTCCTCCGTTATAAGATATTACTTGTAGAATTTCTTGTAGAACTAGGGATAAATCCTCAGGTTTTTGCTTTTAATAATGTTACCATATTACAGCTGAGATTTCTTGTCCAAGTGCACTGACTTCAGAGTTATAYCATGCATCTTGCTGAAAAAATATCCTCAGCGAAGGATTTTGCTCCCCTTATTAGCACTATCTCCTCCCTGAGCAGGACAGGTTTGAGTGGGGCAACAAGACTGGAGATAATGTGGCCAAGGAACAAGTCCCTTGCATCCCTGTTAGCACCCAAACCAGCAGCACTCAGTGCTTTGTGTTTATCCCGGCACGGCTGGGAAGGAAGGAGTGCTGGAGCTGAAGACACTTCCCACGAGCTCAGCTTCGCAGAGGGAAAAGCACGAAACAATCCGTGTACAAATACAGGGATATGTGAATACAGATGAAAGGGATTAAGAAATGACCTCTGGTCGTTGTAATGAAAAGCTCTGCCCTGAACCACTTCCTTCCCAAACCTTGGAGGCTGCACACAGATGCCCTGGACAGCTGTCAGCTTGCAGAGGTTCCTTCCTGTGGTGCCTTATCCTCCTTGCTTACTGTCCCCTCCTCTGTGCCCGGGAACTGTTTGCGTGATCTTTTCCAGCTCATTTGCTTGAACACTGCCTATGGAAACGAGTTCAGCTTTGATTTTGTTCACACAATCCTTTTTCACTGTTTGCTATGTACTGCCACATAGCAGGCACACATTCAAATACTTTCAGTCTGACATATTAGCTGATAACATACTGGCTAATATTTGGAGGTATTTCAGAGTTGTGAAAATATCTAAATATGAATTCAGAATGAAGTGGGTCCCCTTTAGGGATTTAGCAGTAGCTCATGTACTATTCAGGTCCTCCTAAGAGTACACATTGGTCTAAAATAGTACACACAGCTGAACTGTGCCTTTGTAAAGGATTTTTCTAATATAATTTATGCCAATGTTTTGCTAGTTGTAATCAACAAAGATGGAAACATGAAGCAACCATAAAGCAAAATGAGAATGTGCAGTGCCACAGCTTCTACTTCCTTTGGGAGTCTTTGGCCAGGCATCTGAGACATGGAGTTGGAAATCAAAAGTAAGTTTTTTTTCCTTATTTTTCCTCGTTTGTTTGTCTGTAGCGCTTCCCAGCATTCCTGTACTCCGGCCTACATCTTGTTATGAAATAGCGCGCACTGAGCTGTGTGCTCATGGCTGTGAGCTTTGCTGCAGCGTTAATTTAAGCTGTGGTTGTGGTGGGCGCACGCGGAGCTGCRCAGACCTGTTCCGAGGCTGCCTGTTGGCAGCGAGGGGCTGGGATGTTCCTGTCCGGTAACCTCCCCCTCAGCCACGTCCAGACCGAAAGCAAACAGTCAGTGAGGCCGGCACGCACGAGACCCTCCGGTGCTGCGCGTGGCCACCAGYGTCTGCGCTGGGATACACAGGTTTGCAAGGCTTGCTTCAGCAGCACAATACACACCCTCCTGTTGGAGCTCAACAGCTTGCAAGCTGTCAACTGTGCTTTGGTTTTTATCAATTTTTGATCATCTACCTTTTGGGGAGATGATCTCTCTACTTTTTATCTACGTATCTTTGCAGTGTATTTCCAAGAGCTGGATCTTCTGGAGCTAATGCATGGGCTCAGTGGAAATGGATTCACAGAAGTTGAGAATGTGGCCTCACCGCTGGTAGCTTACACCATGCAAGGTGAGCTATTAAAAGGCACAGCTGTGAGTTTTAAAACTTTGAAGATTTATTTCACTTCTAAAGTTACATAGATTCATGCTTGCATTTAACTCACAGGTTTTAAGTGAACGGGCAGACCTCTCTCCATTTGCACTTAAGAGGAGAAAACAAACTGCATGTATATAATTAATATATTCCTGTATTGTTTTGAGACTTTGCATCTGCTTAAGAGTGAGCACATGGACAGCTAATGCAGCTCTGACATGTGATAACTCATTAACAATCACATTAATTTTTGTTCATGATATGTGACAGCTACTGGAGTAATCCTCCTGGAACGACGGCCCTTATCAAAACCTGTTCTTTTAGACTGAGTCTTGACCAGAAACTGGAGTGCTCAAATGCAACACAAGGGCAGCTGCAGATTTATTTCTGGCATGATCAGAAAGAGGTGTCAGAATTTGGGAGACCTTTTCTCAAAACCATGCAGGCCAGACTGTGTATCCCAGAAGTTCAGGCGTCTGTAGATCCCCAATGCACCTGATACTGCGCAGGAGAAGCTGCCTCGTCTCTCTGGCCRGTGCAATTAGTGCATGCCAGCGGTGCCGTTGCTTATTCTGGGTCTGTTCTAACTCATAATTGTAGAGGGTTAGAAGCAAACAGCAGAGTGCGACACGTGGTATATAAATATATCCCCAAGTTTCCAGGATATACAGAGWCTGCTTTTCTGGGGTATCCATAGGAAATTAACCCAATGTCTGGGATGAATAATAAAGTAAAAATTTTATTTTATTATTTATCATAAATAATAAAACTTACATAATAGGATAAGAATAAAACTCAGCTAAAGAGACACAGGCAGCTGGAGTGCCTTAAGTATTGTAAGGCAAGTTCTGGATCAGTCCTTGGAAGTCAATGCAAGCTACAGGAGCCATAAAACCAAGTTAAAATCGTGCAGGCACCAAGTATTATAACACTTCTTTGGCTAACAAGGTTTCAACTGGAAAATAGTACYGAGGGTAAACATCAGAGTACGACCGAGGGTAAACATCGGAGTAGCACTGAGGGTAGACATTGAAGTACCACCGAGGGTAAACATCGGAGTAGCACCGAGGGTAAACATCGGGAGTAGGATGGCTGCAAGCCTTTTCCAAATAGGAGCAGTGCCTCAGTGTATCCTTGTGGGACTACATGTCAATTGTTGTTTTGTCCTTTTCCCTCCCTCCTCTTGTGCCCGTTCAGAAGTTAGATATTGTTTACTATCCTCTATGGGAGGACAAGCCCTAAATGTGTCTTTCAAATCAAGTATTGAATAGTACTGATATGAAGAGAAGATCTGGTTTAGAATAGTGTATGGATCTGGAACCGTGGGATGCCGGGTTGATTATTTCATTTATTACTCCGAAGTCCTGTGTTTTTCCTTGGTTTTTTTTTTTGGTTTTTTTTTYCCCCCCCTTATGCCTCTCCGTTTGGGCCAGATGTTGCAGTTTTCCAGCAAAGTAAAACATATTCCTGGATAGAGCAGTTTTCTGTTATTCAAAACAGATTCTCTTGTCTGCTGTGAGGGTCAGGAGCGTGTGAAGTACGGAATGGAGCRGCCACAGAACTGCTTGGCCTGGTGTCCCCAAGTGCAATGTCCAGTTCTGGGCTCCTCAGGACAAGAGGGATGTGGAGCTGCTGGAGAGAGTCCAGCGCAGGGCTACCAGGATGATCAGAGGCCTGGAGCATCTGCCCTGTGAGCAAAGGCTGGGAGAGCTGGGCCTGTTCAGCCTGGAGAAGAGGAGGCTGAGGGGGGACCTGATCAGTGTSTAYARATACCTCAAGGGAGGCAGTGAGGAGGAGGGGGCGGCCTCTTTTCAGTGGTGGCCAGTGACAGGACTAGAGGAAACGGCCACAAGCTGAGGCACCAAAAGTTCCTCAGGAACTTAAGGAAACATTTCTAGACAGTGAGGGCGACAGAGCCCYGGMACAGGCTGCCCRGAGAGSTTGYGGAGTCTCCTTCTTTGGAGATCTTTAAAACCCGCTTGGACGCAGCCCTGTGCCAACTGCTTTGGGTGACCCTGCGTGAGCAGGAGGGTTGGACTAGATGACCTCTGAGGTCCCTTCCAACCTTAAGCATTCTGTGATTCTATGATATCGTCACATATGGAGTACCAAAAATTTTGGTTAAAGTCTCAAGCCAATGTGTAAAGTCTCAAGCCAACTCACCTGTAGAGTGAATTGGCACCTCTGCTATTTCTAACAGTGATACTGATTATCACTTAACTAATCTTTCAGTTCGGGTTTGAAAATTCAAATCAATCATGAGATTTTTTTTTGKTTTGGAGAACTAATGGATTGAGTTTCGAGGTGTTTTTCCAGAAAACTATTACTTGCAACATGGAACACCAATTTTCTGTAGCAACAGTTGCTGTGTCGCACTGTTGCAGGAATATGGAGTCCTTTGCCTGATGCCAATTCACTTGCAAATACATTCAAATATTATGTAGATTGTATTTTATTGTGATGGCCYTGGAATATTACTTTTAATTAACCAGAGTCTTCCTCTTTTTTTTTTTTTTAATACATATTTGGGGTTAATTTCCAATGCATATTTTTAATCTTTTCTTATATTTAAAAGAAATGGTTTGCCAAATAAACTTGTCTTGAGTAGGTGACTAAGATGTTCCAAACCTATGTTAAGTAGTAATTCTTCCTATTTAATAATTTCCCTCATATGTATTGCTTATGACCCACGTCAGTATTAGGAAAACCATGGATAGGGCTTGAGCTCTAGCAGTGCCTCAAAGGACAGAAGCTCTTGAATGGAGAGGCTGCTTGCAAAGATTTTTATGTGACTTGCATAGCAGAGAATTTCACCACCTAAATATCAGTGACAACTAAATTATGGCTTGCAGTCTCCTTTGCATATATTACATAGTGAAACTAAACATATTTCCAAGAACTGCTGAGGTAATTTCTTGCAAACTGCTCCCTTCCCTGCACAGATGCAGAAAGTCTTTTCTCAGTAGAGCATAATTCTACCAGTCTGAAACTTTTTGCTATCTCTCCTCGGATACCACCATAGTAGATGCTCAGTAATAGTTTCTGAATTCAAAAGAAAGTTTATAAATAGCAAAGAGCAATTATTTTGCATATGAGCAAGCACAAAAGCTTTTAATTATGTGGAATCAATGGAAATCATTTTAATCAAAGCTTTTTCTTACCTTCTTCAGCAAGAGCTGTGAAAGGAACGCTCCCCAGCACGAAGATGACGATCTGAATTTTAATAAACATTTTTGCTCTGGTTAGAGATCAGCTTTCCTGTCCTGAGACCAGAAGGATTCAACTTTTTTAGATGCAGAGGAGAGCTGAGTTCACAGCAAGTTGTCACTGCAGAAAATACTTTGGTATTTGAAATACTCCTTTAACGGCAGGAAATTTTTCCCCAGATGATAACTATAGAGCTAAAGAAAAGTAACGGAGCGGAGTCGGGGTTTTTTTCTTTAGCAAAGGGGTGGGAGCTTGTCTAAGGTGGTCTCAAAAAGAAGGGCTGGGCCCGCCCTTCCCACACTGTTTGGTCAGTACTAAAATTATGATCTCAGCCCAGGTTTAAAGTTACAGGAGCTGCTGAGCATTTTAGAAGGCTCTTATTTAGCAAAGGGGGAAGGGGAGTTTTGCCAGAGTGAGATGGACAGGGAGTTCCCTCCCTTCTGCAAATTGTTCTTAAAATTATTTAAAGAGCAACGCTAAAGGCATCTTTTCTTTCCCTGTTATTTGCAGCAGTGAACTGAAAGGGGTTTTTTTTTCTTTTTAAAGAGAGGTCCCATGTTTACCTGAATAAATGTGGTAATAAATGTGCACTTAGGAGCACTGAAATAGCTATAGAGCAGAGCATTAATTCTCTGGTAAATACTGTCTGAATCTTTCTGTGTGTCTCCTAGCTTCAATGTCCTCAGATGACACCATACCTGCGCTCCAGCATCCATCCTGCCCACAGTCTTGCAAGCCAGGATGTCCTAATTTCGCCTTACAGAGACGGAGGATTTTTCCTTGCCATGTGGGACTGTGGAGCACAGTTGTACAATTGTCTGAGCACTAGTAGCTTTTGCTTCTCTCTTTTTCTGGGGCTTCTCAAGCCAGCGTGTATGCAGGGACGGATTAACCCCTTCTACCAATATCTGAAACAAAAAGGTAGCAAAGCTGATGCTGTCAAATAGGTCAGAATGGAGAGGTTGGGGTTAAAGCAGGGCTCTAGGAGCAGTGACTTCTATTAACCCTTTTCTGAATCTGCCCTTGTCTTGGATCTGTTTTGGAGAAGGTAACCTCCACAGAAGGGTGCTGCGGACTTGTAGGAGAAGTGGTCTTTCAAAATATATATCTATAAAGTACATTTTATATATAATATGTATATTTTATATAAGTTTATAAAATACAAACTAGGTTGTCTTGCTCAGAAAGTGTCTCAGCTTTTATTAAGACCCCATGACACTCTGAGATACGAAGCAGCAAATCAAGATAAATATAAGCAGGGATGCCATGATAATAAAGAGTCCATAGGGCTTTGTTTACTATTTAAACTAGTAAGTGCCAAAGTAATTTGTTAGCTATCAACTTGAATGATGGTGCCATAGCTGTGTTCTTTACTGTATCTTGGGTTTTTGGCAGACTAGAATGAAAACATGAAAAGTCACTGTTAATGCAAAGAGGTAGCAGGCATTACTAGCATTAATGCAGATAGACAATAGAAGATTTCTGTTGCTAAATTTCAGTATGCCTTGACTCATCTAACAATCTAGGATTAATTATTCCTGGTTAATGCTGCTTCAAATTTATTTAAGAGAATATTTGCTTATTGGGAAAAGCTATTCTTTGAACCTGAAATTTGCTATGAGGATATGTCAGCTTTAATAAAATGTATTTCCAAATAACAAAACAAAATCATTCTGAACCTTATCAGAAGGGAATGTCTGGATTTCTGTAAGTATTTTTGGAATGAAAAGAGGACATGGTATGCTGTGAAAGACAAACTGAAACAAATGCATGACTGTTCTAAGGTTTAGGTCAACAAATCCTTATGAAGAACAAAGAAACATTCTCCTCCAAGGTGCTGTGAGGACCTGTTGTCTTTATGCTCTTTCTTATATGCAAATTTGTTTTGTAGGCTTATGAATAACTTTGTTAGGGCTCAGGCTATTAGCTGGATTAAGTTCTTCCTTTAAACTGCACCACATTCTAGGTGTAGATCTGAAGCTCTTGAGCTTTCAGGAATTAGAAACATCCAGACACCAGTAGCACTTCCAATACTTTTTATCATTTCTATTGTACTTGCCAATAATGAATAGTTCTTCCTGTTCCAGACTGCTCCTCATGAGAAACTCTTCAGAAAGTTTCATCAAACTTGAAGAGTTTATTAAAGCTAGTTTAGATCATAGTATCCAGGCACCCTCAAGGGGAAGAAATTTGCCTGAAGATGCAAAACAATGAGGTGAAAATGCTAGGAATGGGTCTTACTGTTGTTTTTTGAAGGTGAAATTGTTCTTAAGGACTCGGACCTTTCTTGGATTCTTGAGAATAATTTGGAAATTAGTTATAGGAACTTGTCCTCTACTAAGGACATGTTACTGAATAAGGGATTAAAACAGCAAGACCATGCTGAAGCCCCTCTGATCTGAAAAAAAGAATCCCTTGAAGAGGTCACTGCAACTTTGGGAGGTGCCACAGAAGCAGAGAGCTGGGGCTCCAGGGCCCTCGCGCCCTGTGTGCACGGCACCCGTGCGAGGCTGCCCGGAGGCCTATGGAGGGGGCCGAAGGGCCCCTGTGTGGCCCTCCCAGGGCCTCTGTGTGCACCGGGCTGCAGGGTGGCCATCAGGGTTCGGTGCGGCCTCCTGGCACCGCCAGGCAGCTGTGCAGTAGGGCCAGGGGGCCCTAATGGCCTCCATACAGCCCCCCAAGCGTGTCTGTGTGCGTGGGCGCCCTGCTGGCCTTGGTGCGGCTCCCTGCGGCCTCCTGTGCACAGAGGGCCAGGGAGACTCTGCGGGCCTCCATGCTGCCCCCCGGGACCTCCACGTGCATGGGAGCAGGGGCGGTATGGGCCTCTGAGTGTGTGCACAGTGACAACAGGGTCATACAGGCCTCGGAGCCGCCTCTTGGGGCCTCCTGTGCACACAGGGCCAGGGAGGCTCGGTGGGCCTCCATGCAGCCCCCTGGGGCCTCTGTGTGCACAAGGCCTGGGGGGGACTACAGGGTTTGGTGCAGCCCCCCCCCCCCACCGGGGCCTCTGCGCACAGGAGGCAGGGGAGCCTCAAAGGCCTCGGTGTTGTCCCCCAGGGCATGCAGACAGGGCCAGGTGGGTCCTAAGGGCCTCCATACAGCCTGCACAGGGCATCCGTGTCATGGCAGGAGGGAGGGAGGAAGGGAGGGAGGGAAAATGCCCCATTGGCCTTTGTGCAGCTCCCTGGGGCCTCCTCGTGCACAGGGAGCTCCATGAGCCTCCGTGCAGCCTCCCTGGGCTGCTGTTCTTACAAGGCCAGAGGGGCCCCATGGGCCTCCGTGCAGCCTCGCATGGCCTCTGCGTGCGCAGTGCCTGTTAGGCCCTATGGCCCTCGATGTGCCCCCCCTAAGGGGGCACTCATGGCTGTGGAGGGGGGCCTGCGTGCCTCCATGCGCCCCCCCGTGGCCTCCGTGTGCATGGGGCTGGGGTGGCCATCGAGGCTCAGTGTTGGCCCTTGGGGCATGTGTGTGCACAAGGCCAGGGTGGCCCCACAGGCGGCGGTGCTGCCCCCCAGGGCCTCCATGTGCAGGGAGCCAGGGGGGCTCCACGGGCCTCTGTGCCGCCCCCGCCTCAGGGCGGCTGCAGGTACAGGGCCAGGGAGGCCCTACTGGCCTTGGCACAGCCCCCCACAGCCTCCATGCGCACGGTCCAGGGTGCCCTATAGGCCTCCAAGCACCTCTGTGCACATAGTACTGGGGGGCCCTACGGGCCTTCCTTCAGCCCCCCGGCGGCCGGCAGCACACCACAGCCATTGGTGCGACCTGTTGAAGAACTGCTTGAAAAAGAGCAACTTGGAGAAAAACTAGGGCCTACGAGAAAGCATGGCATTACGGAAGCCTGTTTGGGGTGAGACACAGTGGTCATGTCGAGGAGGGCCTCTGCTCCTCCACGGTTCCCTAGGCAGCACCATCTGCCCTCCTCACAGCTGCGGAGAGGAGGAACAGAGGGTGGAGCAGAGTGAAGCCTCGGCAGCCAAATTCTGTTCTGTTCCCTGTGCCAGGCCACTGATAAACTGCACGGTGGCTGCCCCATGGGAGACATACGATAAGCTATTGGTTTCTGAGTTAGTACTAGTGGCAAATCACTCCTTTTGGATGAACTTTGCTCATTATAAGCTCATTATAAGCTCATTTATGCCACCACGCACCTCCGTCCCCAAGTTACTCGCCTCTGAGGTACCAGTACTCCTCATGGAGCATGCTCGAGCTCTTCAGTTGACTCTATCTTTAAATGAAAGCAGACGTTTTCCACAAATCCATAACAAAACTTAAATCACTGAAGCTCCATGTAAATATAAAAAGAGATATAAAAAGTGAACTAAGGAGGAAAGGTCATTTTCTGTTCGGTTCTTCCCAGCGCTGGCAGCAATATAGAAAGAAATAGCAGGGTACAGTCCATTACCACGTGGCTCCGCGGCTGGTGTCATTGCCATAACTTTGGCTTCTTTGGTAACAGGAGGCCTTACATGGCACCAGGCATGATGGCACCCGCTGGGGTCCATCTTTCTCAAAGGGGGAAGAGAGCACTGGGGCAGGAGCTAGCTGGGCTCATCATGAGGGCTTTAAACTAGATTTGAGGGGGGTATCAATGGCGTGGCAGACGAGATGGTGGCTGATGGCCCATCACACCACCCACAGCAATCTAGTGCTGTGGCCTGTGAAGGGTGCTCTGGGCCTGAAGAGGCCAAAGGGCAAATACAAGGACTTCTGTAGGCGCACACAGTCAGGCTGCAGCTGGCCCGACAAGGAGGAGAGGCACCTTGGGAGCCCCACTCAAATGCCTCTACATAAACGCACGCAGCATGGGGAATAAACAGGAGGAATTGGAGATGCACTTGCGGCTACAGGGCCATGATCTCATTGCAATTACTGAGACATGGTGGGACAGCTCCCATGACTGGAATGTGGCCATGGWRGGCTAYAGGCTTTTCAGGAGGGACAGGGCAGGAAGGCGAGGTGGCGGAGTTGCTCTTTATGTGAGAGAGCAACTGGAATGCATAGAGCTCAGCATAGGAGAGGATGGAAGGCGGGTAGAGAGCCTCTGGGTGAGGATAAAGGGGCAAGCCAACAGGGGTGATGCGGTGGTGGGAGTTTACTACAGGCCTCCTCACCAGGACGAGGAAGTGGATGAAGCCTTTTACAGGCAGCTCAAAGAAGCCTCTGATCACAGGCCCTGGTCCTCCTGGGGGACTTTAACCACCCTGGTATCTGCTGGGAAAACCACACAGCCAGGAACAGACAGTCCCAGAGGTTCCTGCAGAACATGGCAGATAACTTCTTGATGCAGGTGGTTGAGGAGCCAACAAGGGGAGGGGTGCTGCTAGACTTGTTACTAACAAACAGAGATGGTCTAATGGGAAATGTGAGGGTTGGGGGCAGTCTTGGCGGCAGTGACCACGAGATGTTGGAATTCACAATCCTGCATAGAGGAAGCTGGGCGAAAGGTAGGATAGCAACCCTGGACTTCAGGAGAGCCGGATGATGGGCTGAAACCCTTTTCTCCCCTCCCCTCCCAGGATGCTGCCTGAGGAGACTACTGAAGACTGACAGCCCTCTCCCATCTTCAGCAGTGAGTGATGATTGCACATGTGTACATCAGAGCTAGCTACAATTTCCACACTGTAATAAAGAGTTTTCCATACAGACATCCGAAACCTGCTTTGTAAATGTTGCATTTGAATAAATCATGCTATTCACGAACTCTACTCGTTTGGAAGGCGATCGAACCTACAGTTGACAGACTGTTACAGTTACTGTTACAGTTCGTAAATGTGATACTGACAGAGTTGCGCCTATAGCTACCACAGTATTTGATATCTCCTCCCCGCTGCCCGCTTCAAACTGCAACAGGTCCCCGGGGCCTCTGTGCACACAGGGTCGGGGCAGTGGCAGAAATGTCCAGGGGAGAGACAGGAGCTGCCCTTACAGGGTTTTCACTTTGGGAAGCACGCACAGCATTTCAAAGAGCAGATTTGCCCCCAAGAGGGCAGTGTTACCTACAGAAAGGAAAAGAAATAAAATAAGCAATACCTTACACCCCTGTGAAGCTGGCTAGCAGCACCTGCTGCATGGAGCCACAGCAGTCACAGCCTGACACTGCAGTCCTCTCAAACTCCCATCTGCTCGGAGGGGAGTTTGATCGAACTCACCTGAGACATCGTATACTGGTGCCACTTCGACAAGGTCGCATCCCACAATATTCAGGCCTTTGCAGCCGCGAATAATCTCCAGAGCCTAAGAAGGAAAAAGATTTGGGAGTAAAAAACATGTATTCAATGCAGCAAAACACTTCAGGTTCTTCTTTCTTGTTCTACATTTTATGTAACCCGTGTAACCCGTCACTTAAAGCCCTGAGAGACCAAATGGCATGGGTTTAATGTGGATCTCCAGGTAATTCTCTGTTCTCCTCAGCCTGGTGAAGACCCCAGCTGTCGGCCCTCCTTTAGCAGGAACAAGGAGTCATCCTTCCCACCCAAACAGAACCATGGTCCCGCTTACCTGGGTGGGCGTGAGCCCGGCTATCTCGGGTGTCCCAGTCCCTGGGGCATACGCGGGGTCCAGACCATCAATGTCGAAGCTGATGTAAATGGGTTTGTCCCCCATCTGCTCCCTCACCTCCTCCATGAGTGGCACCAGCGACTTGAGCCAACACTCTTCAGCCAGGACGACCCGAAAACCCTACCCAGAGAGGCTGCTGTGGTCAGCGCAGAGCTGAGCAGCAGGACAGCATGCAGGAAAGGGGCATTGCCATTCCCATCGGAGCCAAAGGCTGGACATGGCCTCTCATCTGAGGGTTTCCAGACCCTCAGTGGGGCCAGTTACCTGCTCCCGGCTGTACTGATAGGCGTCAGGGGCATAGGAGGAGCCACGGAGGCCGATCTGCACCACACGCCTGCAGTCCAGCAGTCCTTCGTCCACACAGCGCCGAAAAGGGGTGCCGTGGTAGATGGGCTCGCCCAGCGCCGCAGCACTGGTGTCGGTGTGAGCGTCCACGTGCACCAGCCCCACGGGGCCATGCCTGGCTGAGGCAGTACAGGATGTCACCCCGGTGCTTTCCCCGGGGCAAGATCACAGTCCCACGTCTGGATCCCATTGAGACGGGGGGTGATGGGGCTGAGGGACTTCCAGTTGGCTGTGTATTTTCAGGGCTGACACTTACTTTTTTGCCACAGCCTGCAGGATTGGGTACGTTATGGTGTGATCGCCACCTGCAAGGGACGGGGAAGAGTTGAGACCTGTTGCTCACACAGGCTGATCTTCACGTTAGTTACAGAATCCCAGAACGTTCAAGGTTGGCAGGGACCTCTAGAGATCATCTAGTCCAACCTTCCTGCTCCAGCAGGGACACCCAGAGCCCGGGGCACAGGGTGGCATCCAGGCAGGTTTTGAAGACCTCTGGAGAAGGAGTCTCCACAGCCTCCCTGGGCAGCCTGTTCCAGGGCTCTGGCACCCTCACAGTAAAGAAGTTCCTCCTCACAGGGAGATGGAACTGCCTGTGTTGCAGCTTGCACCTATTGCCCCTGATCCTGTCACTGGTCACCACTGAGAAGAGCTTGGCCCCTTCCTCCCTACGTTCCCCCTTCATGAACTTATACATGTTAATCAGATCCCCTGTCAGCCTTCTCTTTTCCAAAGAAAACAGGCCCAACTCAGTCTCCCCTCATATGAGAGATGTTCCAGTCCCTTAATCATCTTTGTTACTCCACGCTTAATCCTCTCTAGAATCTCCACATCCCTCTTGTACCAGAGAGCCCAGAACTGCACACAATATTCGAGATGTGGCCTCCCCAGAGCTGAGTAGAGGGGCAGGATCCCCTCCCTTGACCTGCTGGCAACATCCTCCTGATGCAGCCAGGATCCCATTGGCCTTCTTGGCCACAAGGGCCCTGCTACCTCATGGTTAACTTGGTGTCAACCAGGACTCCCAGGTCCCTCTCTGCGGAGCTGCTCTCTAGCAGGTCAATCTCTGTTCTGTACTGCTGCCTAAGGTTACTCCTCCCCGGGTGCAGGCCCTGCACCTGTCCTTATTGAACCTCATGAGGTTCCTCACTGCCCAACTCTCCAGCCTGTCCAGGTCTCTCTGGATGGCAGCACAGCCCTCTGCAGTGTTGGCCACTCCCCCCAGCTTGGTATTCCTACCGAGCTTGGTAGTCCTATGCTCACATCCACCCTGCAGAGCCAGCTTCCCTGGCCAGGGCCACATTGCCCAAGCCCTCGGAGAGAAACACATGCCTGGGGTTATGACAGCAAGTAAGGGATCCAAGTTTGAAGGGGCAGCATGGATAGCGCTGACACGGGGGCTTTTACCCAGGGTGAGGGGCACGCAGCCAGAGGCCACTATCTCTGCGTAGTGGCCACGGATGCGCTGGCAGCTGTCGGGCAGGTTGTAGAGGTTCACGTTCACGTCCCCAACATCGGCAACCAGGAGAGAGTCGAACGGGGCAGCCCCGGTGCTTGGGTTGTAGCGTCGCAGCATCGCCGACTCTGCGCGGATGTGACGAGGACCAAACCTGAGGAGAGAGGGAAGACAGAGCTCCCACGTGCCCCTGGGATGGCAGGATGCGGATGGATCTAGGCAACAGAAGGAAGCGCTGGCTCGCTGGCTCTCCTTCCCGGGAAGGTCCTGACCTGGCTCCAGGCCGGTTGGATGTGCCGATGTCCAGAGGGATGCCAATAAATGCCGCATCCAGCCCCTCGGTTGAGGTCTGGACGGGGAGTTTCATCATGGAGCAGATTCCTGAGGGCCGGGCCACAAACTCAGCACTGGGCGGGATGTTGAAGCTGGAGCCTGAGAGACAGCGGCTAAGGGCACTGGGAAGGAGAGCCACAGACTTCAGGTGCTGGCCCCCGCCCAGCCACGGCCGCCAGGTGCTGGCAGAAATCCTGGCTCCCAGGGACACACGGCGAAGAGCCCCCAGCAGCCGCCGCATCCTGCCCAGAGCCTCTCACTGGAGCGGAGCTGGACACTGTGGCTCAGCCTCAGCAGGGTCCAAAGTGCAGCTGGATGGCCAGCCTCCCCTGGCACGGCTTTCACATCCCCCTCTTCCCCATCTGTTCCCGCCACGCCACTTTTTCCCGCCACTTGTTTCCCGAAAAACACTGAAGCTTCACTTCAAAATACCTCTGATGGCCTTTTTGGAGCCAGTTTGGTAATCACTACACCAGGGCAAGAGGGGTGTGCCGACAAAAGGTCAGGTTTTGCCACCTTCAGCATTTTCACAAAGCAAAGTGGCATGGATTTCTAAATTATGTGCTTAAAACATCCAGAATGCTGACAAACCACTAAAATGTCCCAAAAAACCTCGCAAAACAGACAAACACCATCTAAGCTCAAGAAAACTGCAAATAGACCAAAAAAAAAAAAAAAAAAAAAAA